GTCACATCCCGTAATATTCACTCAACAAATTTAAGATTGTGTACAAAAAACTACTTTCCTGCTCATTACCTCCCAAAAAAAATAGACACACATTCATGAATAAACATAACTATATTTACATTCATTTCTGTGGTAAATAATGCTTCAACATAAACAACGAAACAAACACTAAATTTGCCAGAAGAACTGATTGAGATCCGGTGTAGTACAGTCACGCCGCCTCTTACCAGCTGCAATGCTAAACAGGCGTTCATGTGATGTGATGCCTTGGCAGCGCAGTGTAAGAGTGGGTCATTTAAGAGGTCAGACGGTTCAGTTTAGACATTGTGGCCTCTGCCTCCTCAAAAGAAATCATGTCTTTGACAGCTGTGTGATAATTGTGTGAATAATTCAAAACTTGAGCACATTCAGCTGAACTGTCACAGATCCAACTGCTGTGCTTAAGGTGACCGAGTTCAACTCTCAAGCTGAAAATGAAATTCCCTTAAGAATCAGTAAACCTTTGTTCACAGTCATTTGTGATTCTGCAGAGAGCTTCTTCTTTTTTTTTTTTTTTTTTTACAGGATAAGATTTCAAGGTTTTGAGTCAGGAGGATAGGTGAATAACTTCTGAATGAATTAGAAGTCAGTTTAAAGGAAATATTCGGCAGTTTTTCTTGAAAACATTTTAACAGAAAGTTTTTATTTTCTTCTACGCCTGCCTTCATACCTACTTTCTTGAAGATTCATACGCTAACATTTAAAGTTCTACCGCTTGATCTCATTGTCCTGGCAGGCTGCCCATTGCACAGATTTATTCAACATAAGTCTCGACTACCGAGTGCAGTCGCTGGAGCATAAAATTTTAAGAAACCCATATGTAATTTTTAATAGTTAATGATCCAAAACTTCAGCAGTAATTCTTAACAAGGTCTGTTATTGATGTAGGTGTTTAAATTCACTTTGTTCCTTCACAGCACATGATGGCATTTGTCACGCTGCCAGAACAAGAAGATAAGATAACTAGAAGAAATAAAATGTTTTATATGGTCATGAGCATAAAAAGAGAAAAACAGACACAGATAATGAAGATGAACGTTTCTCCTGTCTGGAATAAGAAGCATTTTGAACGAATGAATAAAATAGTGTTTTGTTGTACGTGTGGAAGTGGAGGGGTTGCAAGTTTGAGTTGCAATACTCTCCTGTGAAGAGCGCTGTAGCCTTAAGGTGAAATTATAGCACAAACAGTCTGATCTTTGTTTCACTCTCTCTGTCTGTTTATTGTATAAACCTGTGTGTACCGCCATGCTTTCTATGCATCTTTCTTCTTGCCTAATTTACGAGTTGAAGTGGGTCACGCATGCCCACACATTCACCCCACCCCACCTCACCCCACACCCCACACACACACACACACAAAACAGCTAGTAATGAACATCGATCTATCCGTACCAAAAAGAAAATTTCTCCTTTCTCCCGTTTGAGGAGCTCAATAATGAAAAGACCCATATTACTTTTTTTTTTTTTTTTTAAGATACAGGATGTCATCCTCCTTTTCAATGTACAGTACGTTCTTTCTCCTCCCTGCACACATTCAATTTATATTCAAATACACTGGGGAAAATGAACAGTATTAGATGATGAAGTCTTATCAGACTGTAATTGAAGATGCCACGGTGCATTTGTCATAACCCTGCGCATAATTCATTGTCCACTCATTTTTCTTACCAACATATATATTTGTTGGTTGTGACTGAATGCTGCTGTGACTTTACAAATTATTGTTCACCATCATGCATTATAAGACACAAAGGCAGACACAGACATCACTAGGTATAACTTACACTGATTCTGGAACTCCCTCAATCACTCGCTCTCAATATTTTCTCTTAAGGAAAAAGTGCTGTGAGGGTTCATTTATTCAGTGTCTGTGTATCTGAAGCAGCCATTCTTAGTTCACTTATTGTCTAAATACCTACAACATTATAATGACATTCCCATCTGCCCCAGTTGTACTTTGTAGTTTAGTGCTAATTGGCAAATGTTAGCATGCTATGACGCTAAACTGGTGATCCTGGTAAACATTATACCTGCGTTAAGCTGCATTGTTGCGATGCATGTAAGCAAGCAAATGTTAGCATTTAGCAGTACAGCCTCACAGAGCTGCTATGGCTGTAGATTCTTAATCTTGTTCTTCAATCATTTCTTTACGGAAACACAATTTATGAAAGCTGCATAAAAACACTGAAGTTATTTTGCCTCAACAGTCGACAGAGACAAACTTTTCAAGCTTCAGATTTTAGATCCAGGCCCAGTCTCTCATAGCCGATCAATCAAAATACATGTGCAGTACGTACAGTACAGTACAGAGATATTTGTGCATTTGTCGGCTACATGTTAAATGAAAAGAAACATCCTGCAACCTGGGGGGTGTTCGCTATGACATGCTGATATGGCCAAGAAATATCGGGCCGTCATTTTTTTTCGCATGTTGTGTCAATAAAGTTACAATGAACCAGGGGAATATGAAATACTAAAGATATAGGTTTTTCAAACAGGAAACCAGGTTGCTTTGAGACATATATCTGCCTCTCTTTCTGTTTTTGTGACGCTTTGACTGGTGTATTTCTTGTCCTTAATCACAAATTATTTGAGTGCTGGAGAACGTGTTCAGAACATTAATAAAGTGGTGACTTGGTAAAATACATTTGAAGTTGTGCATTACAGTGGGCCTGAGAGCTCAGTGCACTGTGACTTAACAAAGCAAAAACACAAGCAAAAACCAATTTGACAACACATGCATGCACAAAAAAAACTGAGAAAATTGCAATATGAGAAAACACAATCATACACATAAACGAACTGCAAAGACAGAAAACACGAGCAGATAAAGACACTGAATAATGAAGTGCTGCAAAGTTAACAACAGATATTTGGAATAATACCTGAATCATTCAATGGCAGAGATGTTTTTTTGTTTAGTTTTTTGGTAGAATATCTTATCAGTTGAAATGGGCCTGACTTGGTTAAGACCAGTCAAATCCCCTCTATTTCTCTTTTTACATGAGCAGAGCATTCTGTGCTGTGGCACCCTGACACTTTAATGATGGAGGAGAGGAGTCTAAAGTGATTTCCTCACAATAAGAGGTGACTAATGTCCTTGTACAGGAGGTGCCAAATTGCTGTCTCCACTTTGTGCACAATGGTGCATAGTGACAGTTCTAGGTTGACAGCCGCACACCAAACACATACTGTAGTTACAAAAAGAAATGTGTAGAAACTGTTCACGCTTGGTAAAACTATAAATAAAGCTCCAGTGCGTTTTTGCATGATGCACTTTTGACACGGTGTGAGCAGATTGATTATACAAGACCCGGCACGTAGAAGAAGACACATAGCAGGGAGGCCTCCGATCCTTTACAATTCCCACCACCAAGGTCTGGGGTCCCTGCAATATTTCAGTTCCTCCCTGTTGAATAGAGGAATGATCAGAAGTTGTTGTTCATGCATCGTGAGTGCGAGTGTGGCCTCGTAAATGACCTCTGCAGGCATCTGTTGGCGAAACACGATGTGAGCCACAGATATGAGACCTTAAAGGTGCAAGACAGTGAGACCTGTCAATGCCTTATCATATCTGAAGCTGCCTTCACAATAGCCAACGTGCTGTTTTTGACAAACAAGCTAGAAACATGGCAGGATCTTACACCTCTAAGGACTCACTCAGAGACTTGTGCAGCAAATTATTATTTACGGCTGGATTATGTGAACTACAGACAAACTGTTTCGGTTCGGCTGTGAATCAGTTCGATGAAAAAAAGAACCTGCGTGCCCCAATGTCACAGAAGCTCAAGTGCTCTGTCCACACGCTTGTCCCTCTACTCTGTCAAAACACAGCGAGTGGCATCCCTGATAAAACTTTGTCTGGGGCGAGGCAATCAGCTGTGGGCCAGAGGCTTGAAACCTTTGCTATGTAATCTCAGCCCACTCGGCCAACAATCACACCAAGCTTGACATGCTGAGATAGGCTCCTGGCGCACTGAGAATTGCTAGTGTGGAGACAATGCTCAGTACAAAACAATACATTTTCCGATTACTTAACTCACATTGGGTCATAGTCAGAGAAAGAATAATTTACAGGTCCTGTATTTTACACTTTTCTGGTGTTTTATTTGAAGTTTTGGTCCATAAGAAGGTCGGTGATTTTGTTCTGAGTGATCAAATAAAAATAGAGCAGATTTCAGCAAAACACTCAGAGAAACCAAATCTTGCAAGGTTGAATGGTGGGTCCAGATGGGCGGGGCTCAGGGCATGGCTGAGAGCGGTTACTGCTTGGTTGTGACATCACAATGTTACAGACGTCCTGACAGCTCGTTTTAAGGCTCAGTTTCTGAATACAGGCTGTGTGCATTCCTCCGTGGACTGAGCACTTTGATACTTTCACTGTATTAATACTGAACCTAGACCTGCTTTATAATCAAAAAAGACATGGAAACCTCACTTTACACAATATGGGACCTTTAATCAAGATAAGTGTAGCAAATTTAAGTGAAGCATTTTGCAAAAGGCATGTGTGTTAGCCACAAGGATACACCTGTGTACCATGGCAACATAGGTGAATGCTGGAGGCAAACTGTCATTGAAACATAATGTCAACCTTAAAGAGAGAGATCCAAAGTGGGATATTAATGTAGTAATCTCATATGCAAACCATGTCTGCATTTTAAATGTAAAGTGGATAAATGCTACTCCTGCCTTCTGTTGCAATGAGCCACCAGGGTTGAATGTGCTTATCCTGACTGGCTGAGCACACGCTGGCAAATTCATTGTGCTGAGAGGAGACGACGAGGGGGGTGAAACCACCACAGCCACATTAGAGGGTGAATCCAGTGTTAACTGAACGGTATAATTACAGTGTCACTGGGATAATAAAACATGCGCCTCAACACACAATCAGAGAGTTAAAGTTACTGTAAAATATGTTTAAGAGCGCTGAGACTGTCTCTCTGTGTCTTTCTCTCCAGGCAATGTGTTTGTGGTGAGTTTGGCATTTGCTGACCTTGTGGTAGCCTTCTACCCCTACCCCCTGGTTCTCTATGCTCTCTTCCACGACGGCTGGGCGCTGGGAAACACACAATGCATGGTAAGACCACACCGGCGAGAGCACGTTTCAGCTTACAACCACTACAACACCACGAACCCCACTCCCACTCCAGTCTGACACAAACACTCCTCTCGCTTTCTGTCTGCGCAGGTCAGCGGTTTCCTTATGGGGCTGAGTGTCATCGGCTCCATCTTCAACATCACTGGGATTGCGGTGAACAGATACTGCTACATCTGTCACTCCTTCTCCTACAGTCGGCTGTACAGCTATCGCAACACTCTGCTGTTTGTTGCCTTAATCTGGCTGCTCACGGTGGTGGCCATTGTCCCAAATTTATTCGTTGGTTCCCTGCGCTACGACCCGCGGGTCTACTCCTGCACCTTCGCCCAAAATGTCAGCAGTTCCTACACGGTGGCGGTGGTGGTGGTTCACTTCCTGGTTCCCATCGCAGTGGTTACCTTCTGTTATCTTCGCATCTGGGTGCTTGTGATTCAGGTCAGTCTCCTGCTTTTCTCTACATGGTTATTTGTGTCTTTACAGGCACACGAGGGTTTATTGATGGTGAATAAACATGAAAACATGTCATCAGCTTTGAGTGATGCAGTAACTCCCATGGGCCAAACAATAACAAGATCCATCAGCTTTCCAGAGTTCATCCAGATTGGACCTGTAATGTAGAAAAAATATGGTCAATCCAAGTTTTGAAACTGTGAACTTTAATTAATGACCCTTTACTGGATAAGTCATTGTCATGTTTGAAATGTCAGAATTCACTGCAACATACATCACCCTGTAGTGTTTGTGTTTGGGGAGCGGGGGGAAGGGTGGGTACCACCTCCAAAGACAGATTCATTTTTAATACAGTGAATCCAATCAGTCTAATACCAGAAGCTGTGACTTCTCCATTCAATGTATCTCTGATCTCTACTTCAAAGGAACACAACAGGACAACGACTGAGTGTAAATGAAGGGTAAATGCAACGTCTGATAATCACCAAGATGCAAAGTGGATTAAAAGAACAGTGTTAAATCAATAGCTGATAAAATAAACAGTGTAAAGAATTGGGCAATTATGGGAGAGAATATAATGAGGCTATTCTACTATACGGTTTATATTGAGATGTCTATGAATTTAATTTGATGATTAAAATATTATTTTATTTCAACATCAACCGGGTCATGAGCAGGCGAGTAAGTCTCTCTTACTCTCAGTTGTTGATGATGAAAGCCGGGGACTTCCCCACGACACATTCTGGGGTTGTTTCCTTGGAGATGAAGTGCGGCTCCACCACTTCTCTCAGCTGTTCGGCGCCTGGCAGTCTGCCGGCAGGCTTTCCTCTGTTGATCTCTCTGTAGGCGGATCGGGGCAGATCGTGTTGTCTGCCTGTTCTATCGCAGTTTGATGTGGAATAAACTCTAATTATGGAACTTAACTTTTGCTTGATAACTTTAGAGGAGATCATCGTGGGTCAGATGACCCCAAAACCATGAAAAAAAAAAGTCTTCAAAATAAAAACGTGATAAAGATTTATAAGTTATATTCCTCAGAATATTCTGAGGCACTTCTGCTCTTCTGATTCACTTGTTATTGACTTGGCTTGTAACAAAGGAACACAAGTGTAGATGATGGAAAACTTGGAAAGCATGCGGCAAGAGAAAGAACAAAAGACGGGTGGACAGAAACGACAGAAAAGGGAAAAGTGCAGAACGGCAAAGAGCAAAAAAGCAGAAGCAAGCAATTTGAACTTTTAAATTGCTTAATTTGCTTAACCTTCCACCGTGAGCCATTTAAACATGAACTAAATTAAACGATATGAACCTAATGCACTATCAATAGAAACCTGGACTTCACTTTAGTACATCATTCAAAGCCTTCGGCATAATACCAGCGATTGATCAAACATAATAAATGGTTCCTAATGCTAATGATAAACAAAATGGAGACGAGGAAGCAGTCCTTAATAATAAAGACACCGTTGTGACTGATTAATGTCTGTTAGTCTGGTCACATGGTAGATACTGCCTTATGACTTTACATTTCAAACTTCTGCCCTTCTAAATGATATAGATCTGTGAATTGAACAAATTTGCATAAAAAAAAAGAAAAGAAGGAATCTCTTGTTACAGGGCTCCAGGAAAGTGGCTTGTGATTCATGAATGCTAAATTAGGAGGGGAAGCGAGCAGATAGATGGACCAGACCCCTGGAGTGGTTCTGTGTGTGTGTGTGTGTGTGTGTGTGTGTGTGTGCGTGTGTGTGTGAAACAGTGAGGCAGAGAGAAAGTAACCTTCTGGTATCATTTACGGTCTAATTCCCATCTTGTGTGTTTTCATCATGTTCAGGTGCGGCGTAAAGTGAAGACTGAGGAGAGCCCCCGCCTCAGGCCAAGTGACTTGCGGAATTTCATCACCATGTTTGTGGTCTTTGTGCTGTTTGCCATCTGCTGGGCCCCGCTCAACCTGATTGGCTTGGCGGTGGCCATAGATCCGTCCCACGTGGCCCCCCGCATCCCTGAGTGGCTCTTTGTTGTCAGCTACTTCATGGCCTACTTCAATAGCTGTCTGAACGCCATCATCTATGGTTTACTCAACAGGAATTTTAGGAACGAGTACAAACGCATTGTCACCTCTGTCTGGGTGACCCGGCTCTTTGTGACAGAGACTTCACGAGCCGCCACGGACGGCAGGAGCATGAAGAGCAAGCAGTCGCCGCCGCCACCGCACAACAACAACGAGTCGGTCAGAGATCGCATAAATAAAGAATGAAATCTGGATCCTAGAGCCTGTTAAATGGTAAATCCTGTTTTTTTATGTGACATCCAGACGGTTGTGCAGCTAAAGAGAGTCAAGTAACGCATGAACCCGGAAGACATGGCTTGGTTTTTCTATTGGCTGGGTCAGTCAGGTGGTGCAGGTGGACATGTTTACATCTGCGGATATGTTTTTAAAGAAATACAGTATTTAAATTAACATACTGAGTTCTTGAAAGTTTATCGTTTGAAGGAGTAACTCAACAACTTTGTTAGGTAAGGATGATTTCTCTGTCATCGACAGAGCAAACACTGTAGAGCTGTTGTTACCTCGTGTGAGAACGGGGGCCATGCGTTACGGTTTCATGTCGTTCTTACTCTAAAAAAAAAAAAAAAAAACTTACTCTAAAAACAATGAATGGTACATTAATATTACATTAAAATGTAATATCCTTTAATGTCTGCTGCTGTAGACTCTTAGACATATTTCACAAAACTGGGTAACCACTGGTAAACATACACCTATGTTTAGTAACTTCAGAAGCCTCAAAAAGTGCAACTCGCCTCACCTAAACGCTACATTAGTACAAGAGGAGATGACGTCAGTCTGTGTGTAATAGATACGTCTGATGGGGGTTGACGTGGTGACAGTGAAGTGGTCAGAACTGCACACTAAGCCTAAAGGTGGCCACAGCACATGACTTCCTGCTGCCTGGTCTGACCCTCTTGCACTGTGAAGAACAAGAAACAAAATCTTAGTAATAATCATGAATTGATTAATTCAGGAAATCAAGTGACTGATAGATGACACTAGCACCATACCACATAAGACCTGTTGTTTTTTTGTTTGTTTTTTTGACAGTTTTTGAAAGCCTCAAAACAAATGCTGCGTGTGATGTAGCGGGGGGGAGACACACCTACAGTAAATATCTACTATCGCTGCTGTATCCATCAGTCTGCGTATCACCTGCACTGCTCAGCTGCTGCGGTTTCACCGTTATTTAACTTTATTATAGTGTAGGTCACGGTGGGCCGCACATAAAGCCACACTTCATCCTCAAATCAGTGAAAACAACATGAGGAAAAAATATCCAGCCTGTTCCCTGGAAGGCTGAATGTTGATTTGATATTGCACCAGGGGCACTACTCTGCAAAATCCAAATTATCTTTACCGTTTAGATAACATTCTGCACTTAACAGTTTCATTCCAGTAAATCATAATATGACAGTCAATAGCATACATACAGTAATGTTGCCTCCTAGTTTTCTGCTTTAGTAGTGCAACATGAGTTTTATACAGAGTGAAAAAAAAAAGCCATCTCAACACACTGCAGCGCTCTGTGCAGGTGATTCATCAGAAATGTAAATGTAACACAGGGAGAAAAAACACTTTCATAAATACAATATGTAAAATACAATATATGGAAGTGCAGTGTGTAACCAAAAATATAGAAATTTGAGATGGCGCTAAGCTCACAAGGAGACAGAATAAATATGAATACACTGTAAACCTACAGTGGCGGACACACTTTGCATTTAGAGAACAGCTGTGGTGGAAAGTAAGATAAAGTACGATTTAGAGGGGCTCGTACTTTCCATGAGATTAACATTTTCTTTTACTAATTCAAAGGCTACTCAGCAGAACATAATTCTGTAATGGGCATAACACCCACAGTGCAGGACAGTGTGACAGTTAGAAGTCACACAGGGAGAACACAACTCCATACACTGATGTCAACATATTGAAAAAATAATCGTAATGCAATAAGTTGTTCAGTGCAGCAGCAGCATGAATGACTCTTTATGCACACGAACACTTTGCTATGCAACTCAAAACGACATCCAACATCAGTTGCATCTAAAAATCATATGGAGTTAATTCCAGATCCAGTCGTCCCTCACCTCAGTGCATTCACATTATAACAAGATGTCTCAAATCTTACTGTAAATGATGCTGCTCTCCAGACCACACCATGACAACAGGGCGAGGGAACGCTTCACATTTTGGGGTGTTCTCTCTGCACACCGTGTCAGAAAACATGTGCAGCGAGCAATATGGACCAGACACAGGTTGCTCCTCCGTCCTACATCATATGCAGCAGTAGTAGTCTTATGCAGTCAGTGGCAATTCTTATTCTTCGTTTCAGAAAATTTTATGCAAAATTATTGCTTTTCATTTCATAGGTAACAATTAATGTTGTTAATTTGTTTTCTCATGAAATAAAATAAAAAAAAATTATAATAAAAATCACTCACCAGGGGCAGTGGAAAGACACAAACATTGCACAAGTGTTTGGAGTCGTACTGTCACTTGGTCAGAAGTAATTTGATAGGAGAGTGATGGTCATTGCCTCTTACCTGGATAGTGTTATGAAAGACGTGGACTGAAGGAGGTACAGCTCATATCCATATTCCCATCTCAGGGTGCCTACCAAACATTTTGTTGTCTGAAACATTTGCAGTTCATCAGCTGTCATGTAAGGGAGTCTGAAGACATTTCAAAGGGATCTTTTGTAAATTAGTGTCAGTGTGGTTTTTAACTGTGGTATATTGTTATTGGAGATGTATTCAAAGTGTGGTTTTTAAAAATATATATATATCTGAAGCTCAATAACCCCCCCCGCACAGTAAACAGTTATTATTATAGGACAATGCTTAACCTCTCTTTTCATCAAATCTACTAAAGCCGCAAAGTGCATCTAAAACAACCTCTTGCTCAATTGGCATGTGCATTGCATCACTGCAAATACATTTGTTTTTCCAGCCTGGAGTGAAGGAATCAACCTGTAAATCGCACAAATCAAATATCCAAGAAAGGTAAAACAGGTTCCTCATAATAAATTTACCAGTAGTTTTATTTTTTTTTATTTTTTCTCATATTCAAATTCACTTCAAATTTGTGTGTTGTTATACAGAGTGAAAATGTGCAAAGCCATAGATCAAGGATGGTAACAGACGCAAAGCACAAAGTCGTACTGTACTATAAATATTCATAGGGACAGGACAGATGCAAGAGCGTTACAAGCAGAGGAGGAAAACGCAGAGGAAAGTAGACACAGGGAAACAGCAGGAAGTTTTTGTTGAAGAGATGGGATTTAGATAAATATCGAGAGCGACTATGCTGTCATGACAACAGAGGTGTGGGAAGGTGTTGGGGAAGCAGAGGTGGTGTCCAAAGGAGTGCTGAACAGCAACAAAAAAAAAACAAAAAAAAAGAGTGATGTTGTCATGGTCTGGAGAAAACACCTGCTCAAACATCTGGAGAGTGTTTTAGATGCACTTGGAGGGAAGTAAAGACTTACATTTAAACCAAAGAAATGGGCATAGCTGAAGGGGGTTAGGCATACAAACACAATATCAAGACATTGCTGGGGGGGGGGGGCTTTAAAACACCTTTGGTCTGTTTTCATTCAGAAGTACTGCCTTAAAATTAATACAACAGTGTCAAATTCTAAATATTACGGCAAGTGCCATATTTTCTATTAAAAAGGAACCAACTCAGCAAACCTGGTTTGCAGTCATACTGCTTTTTTTTTTATGTATTCAGGACAGTCGTGTATGGAAAGGTTTCTCTCCAGCGCCAAACAGCAGTTCACATGTAGACCTCAGGCAAGAAACGCAATTGCTGAAATAGAAGAACAAATATTATCTTTTTCTCCTTTGTGTTTTCTTTCTTTGTACCCTACAGCAAAATTATGTAACTATGTTCATTTGTGTTCCCTACGCTCCGTGTCTGCAACCTTACTTTGGACCTACTTCTCCATGCAACCAAATATGAGACATTGCTTTCCAGCTTAAAGGATGGGTTCATTATTTTATTTTTTTTATAATTAAAATGCTATTTCCCATCATTTACCTGGTATAGCAGCACAACTTCACAGCTTTAGTTTTTTAAAACTAATCTCTCTGTTCATTATTTACTCCCACAAATCCTATGATGAATCTGTTGGCAGTATTAAAATACTTTTCTGGAACAGGGGTCATAAAACACTATCTAATAATTTTCTAACTGAAGTAAAAAACTTGGATGTGGCCAGAGTTAATCAAACCTGATGGAAAGCGTATGTGAGACATTCTCTCATTCTGTAGACATTCTGCCTGGTTATGCTGTGAGCATCCTATTTTTCAAAAAAAAAAAAAAAAAAAAAAACTGCAACGCCGGACTGTGTTCACACCAGGTGAGACACTGCAGCCGAGTGCTTGAGGTTGCTTCCCCACAGCAGAAGCTTCTGGTGTGCTTGTGTTTGATTATATGTGAGGCGAAAAAAACATTCTAAGTCAAAAACTATGAACCGAGGTTTATTATTATAAAGTGTAAATCAAAAAAAAAGAAAAAAGCAACATAAATATATATATATACATATTAACGGTGTAAATACGATTTCTGCCTTCAAAATAAACACACAAAGAAGTAATCAGTGAAGGTTGTCACGCTGTTTTTCATTGGAAGATGAAAGCTAAGGTTTCCATGTGCTACTAATCATTTTAAATGCTGCACTCAGTGAGATGAGACACTCAAATCTCTGCATTGTGTCATTGGAGTCTCTTCTTACACCCTCCTCAACATCCATGCACATTCTCCTTAAAGAGGAATTCCCTGATATATCTCCGAGTCTTTTACCATGTGATCTCTGTAACATGAGTGAAGCAGCCACTTTACATTTGAAAAGGCTTCTATTGGTTCGATACTACAAACACAGTCGCTTCTTTTCAGTCATTTTAACAGATGCGGTTTGCAATTACGAGCCATAGAGCACAAGATATATTCTCCAACCATAGAAACCCGATGAAATCAGAATTAAAGACATTCTTGGGTGAGTAAATTCAGATGCCACTACAATCAAACAACTTTACATACAGTAATGTGATAATTAAAGCGGCTGCTTATCAAGGCTTTTGCACAGTGTGATTTGAAATGCAACACAGCTCTTCAATCAGTGTCACTGTCTGCTATGCAAACACACCTGGCAACCTCATGAGCAGGTGTAAGAGAGGGATCATTTGGAGTGGCCAAAC